CCAAAATTACTATTGCAGACATGAATATACTATTCCTTCTTCTGTGTTTTTTAACTTTAAAATTATAGGTCAGGTACATTTTTATTTGAAGGAGAAACACACAGAGGATTAGCAGTCCAAAAACGAATTTTAAAAAGTCATATGTCAATGTAAATATAAAGATTGTATCTTTACTTGTCATACAGTGAAATTTCAATGAGCTGATTCTATATATATATATATATTGCCTACATACAGATATGCAGAAAACTGAAGTAATTTAGCTTAAAAGGTCATAATTTTTATGTTCAGTATATTTAACCAATACAAGGAATTTCATTAAACACTTAAAAATATTCATAAAACCTTAACATAGACCAGCATTATGCATTTATCTTATATTCTAAAGTAAATTTTTGGTTGACAAATTCCAACTACAAAATACTGATTAGGACAGAAGACCAATAACAGAAGAAACTACCTAAACATGAAATGGCCCTACCCAAACTAAACTGTAGTGCTATTAATGTGAAAAGCACAGCATTATGAAAGTCTACTTCATTTGAAAAGATGAGATAAAAAGACTTTCTGAAAATATAGACTTCCAGGAAGTTAATTACCCAAGATGCAAGTTCATGTAATATTTTGTTTGAATCAAAAGCATGCCCGAACTATGATTTTCTAGAGCAAAAATCACAGGTTGGAGGAGGAAAAGCTGAATGCCATGGCTGCTGTGTGTTGCTACATTGCTGGCATCTAGGCTGCTTTTCAAGGAGAGAGGAAAGGCTCTGTCAGCGATGTTAGAATCCCATAAATGGTGGAAAACACCAAGGGCTGTGCAATGGTGGCTTTGTAAACAAAATGAATCCCTATTGGATTTGATTGGTAGAAGCAGAAGAAAAAGTGATTCACTAACTATGTGTTCCCCAAAAGATGAAACAGTAGCCAGAGGAGCTGCAAGAAAGGATGTTTCCCACATAGATAAGAATGATGGTGATGGAAAGCCAGCCTGGTTCTGAGTACAATTTGGGTGTAAACCAAATTTGAGCTGAAAAGCATTTTTTTTCAGCCATATTGAAAGTATCTTCGGGGAATAATTGGCTGTCCAATAACTGGTTAAGTCACAAAATAAAATATGGTTGACTTAACTGATGTTTTTGTCTGGTCTAGGGCACTTCTGCATTTTTATCAATAAAATGAAATAAGTGAAACTGAGTAAGACCTCTGAATTGGGCTTTCTCAGCGCATTGATGACCATTGGCCCCCATGTCACCTCCCCTTGTTTTATTAAGAGTGCGGTTCTCTGGCCTTCTGTGAAAATTTGTAAAACTGCATTATTGAGTTCACAGTCCGCATTGTACAATCCCAGAGACTGGGATTCATAGAAGGTAAAGAACTGCCTGGAGCCACAGAGCCAGAGCCAGAAACCATGCTTGTCAGAGGCCAAAAAAAAAAACTAGCCTACCAACATGATAACTTATAATTTGTGACCTTTAGTTCACCTTCTACTTGTATGCCCCATCTACATCCATCTTTTCCCAAGAAAGTCTTAGGCCAGAACATAGGTCTTAAGTTTCTAGTAACATTTCAATCACAGATAAATAAAGAATTACTACTTTATGTTATACTGATCAATGGTACAAGGAAAATAATTGGGATGTATGCCTTCTATGGAACATGTGAAGAAAAATTCCAATATATTCCTAATAAATCATACATGCAAATTATTTGATTATAATAATGACATGATTTTAATATGGTTAAGATTTTATGTAAAATATTTCTAAATTCAACTAGAAATAAAAATCTTCAGAAAAATGTTTTAACTGGCTTTTTATTGTATGCTAAAAACATGAGATCCTGTTTAGAGGAGATCTCCTATAACATTACTTTCCTATTAGGTTATCAGCCTAAATGGTGCTATTTTACTGGATTTCATATGTGCTACAGATCCTGCTGCGAAAGCATAAAACTGGACTCATTTAGAAGGAGGCAATGTGGCTCTATGAGAAAAACTGCCATATGTGAAACCTCACTTTATGCCTGTTGAAATTTTTGTATTTCAGATCTCCCAGGGATATGTCCATTGTGCTATTGTATAATTTTATCAGCATGAACTTCTGCTGAATATTTTCTCTTCTTTTCAAAACCCATATTTTGGTAGAGCTAACTTAAAAACTTAATGTTGCAACATCTGTGCTCATACACCTGGGAGCCATAGAAGATGTATCCTGAAGATTATCTACATTTTCTAATCTTATAGAATGCTACAAAATGAGAAAAAAAGGTTATACATTTTTTCCTGGTCTGAAATTTTTTTTGAAAGCAACCACTTTCTGTCTCCTTGGATTCTAAAATAACACAACCAATATTTCTAAAGCTATAAAGATATCCTGACAAATATAATAGAATATTCATTTATTTCTGTTTTCAGATAAGAGTAATTTCTAAGACATCTTAAAACTTTCCATTAAGAGATACTGAATATACACAAAACCTGGAGCTTTATTCTCAAATGTTTTCCAACAAGATTCTAATAACTCTATGAGTCTAGAGAAAGCGAAAAAAAATTATTCTCATTTGATTTATTTAGTATGTTTACCCCATGGATCTGCCAATAGATCAATGGCATCTTCTTTTAAAAATAGGAATTATGGTTGGATCAGCACTTCCCAAATAGAAGATTGACATCTTGACACAGAAAAAGGAGTTTCTGAATAGAGAGAAATGCCTCCCACCTCACCTTTCATTAATTGTTCTATCTTTATAGAAAAGAATATACATACCAAAACTGGCTGCAGGAGACAGTGCTGAAAAGGGAAAGTGCAGAACAATGTTTTTCGCTGAAGGAAAGGGAGAATGTAAAGTTTTTATGAATTCAAAATAGTTAGGAAGGACCACAAAGGGACTTAAGAAACTCCACACGTGGACTCTCTCGACTGTCATAATTTATCAAAGCATGAGAAATACTAAACACCAAGTGCTTTCTATGTGCAGGTATTGTGATTTCTGTACATGTGCCAACTTATTAAAGTTTCTCCACAATGGTAGGTGGCAGGTAATTTTGTCTTTGCCATCTTACAGAGGAGGGAACTGAGGCACTGCAAGTTTGAATAACTTGCCCAAGGCCACCCAGCTTGTCAAGGTGGGGCAGAGCTACTCCACAGAGTCCTGGATCTACATTACCCCACTTTCCTTCCCTGACTTTCCTTTATGTGTAGCAGGCTCGCTATTAACTCTTACTTTGAAGCAAGGAGCAAGATGACAAGGGGAGTATTTTTAAGTTATTTCAAATGTAAACACAAACAGGTGAGGCAGGGCCAAGGTTAATGTCTCCCAGAAAGAAGAGTAGGGAAAACTGTTAATTTGAGGCCACAGGCGGGTTATTACTCTCCTGTAGTGAAAAGTCACATTTCAAAAAAGGCAATCCAACTTCAAAGTCACTATCAGCAAGTAGCAGATTTTGGCCTTCACTTCTTTCTCATGTGCCATTCCCCCTGTGCGATAGAGGATGAGCATCCCTGCAAGGGAGAGGCAAGCGGATATTTAATTCTCCAGTAATTAGAGGAGGCTAGATGCTGGAGAAGCTCTGGAAGAAGGGACGCGTGTCGGCGAGTGCTGAAAGCTAGTTTTTCCCTCGCAGGTCAAGTTAAAAAGAAGAAAATGTACCAGTTATTTGATGTTCCTCTCTGGCATGTCTTGAGGCACAATACACAAAGTAAATAATTTCCACTATAGAGAAATTAAACAGGCAGGCAAGACATTGTGTGTTTTACATTAGAGAAGTACAACTGAAGAGCGCAGTGACATGTATCGGTGTCTGAAGGAAGGGTCCTAGAAAATCTCTGTTACGTCATCAGACAGGAAATATATCCTATATGCCATTTACTTGACCTGCCAGGAACATGGTGCCATGAACCTGAACTAGGATTTACAATAGAGAAAAAGCTATTAGAAGCAAAGAGATAGAAGATATTGTGCTCTCAATGCAGTGGAAATTTAAAACAAGGATGTTGAAATCACTAACAGGGCTTAGTAATTAAACTGTGTCAATGCCCCTGCCAAGAAGAGTTCATAATTTGGAAGCTGTAGTTACTATTGACCTGATTTTACTATTGAGATCATGTCTACCTTTTAATTTGGAACCAAAATTGATCACTGTGTTCTATAAACAAGGCCTGTCAAGTTGTTACTTTGCAAATGCTTTGCAAACACATATTTATTTAAGAGCAGCATGATTGATGATGGGTATACCAGACAAATCATTTCATTTTTTATTTCATATTTGAGATTCTTTTAAGAGATTGCTTTATAATTTAAAATGGAGTTCATCAAGTTCTTCAATAAATATAAAATTTCTTTGATAATAGTTTTTTAAAATAGATATTTTAAAAAGATGCCTGTCTTTACTCCAATATATTGATTTGATGGCCCAAATACTGCTTTAAAATTTACAAAGTGTTCATTCCTCCTGTGTCTTCAGAAATCATTATAATGCTCACTTACTTTTTTAAGAGTAGTCAATATTACTGCAACCCAGTATTAGTGGACAAAATTTGCAATTTAGAAGGTTCATATAATGTGTATATTTGAGATAAATTGTTTCCTTAATCACTACCATATGAAAGACGACAGAAGGAAATCAATACAGAAAGGTTTATCTTTGTGTTTCAAAGCCATCTCACACTTTCTAAGACTCTCATCCATCTAGTCCATAATTTCAATTTCTTATAGGCTTTCTCAATACTGTGATTTTTGTATTCATGATTTTTAAATTAAATTGAAACGAATAATAAAAAACATCTTCAAACTTCTTGAAAGGACAAAAAAACCTGTTAATGTATCTTCTTTTGCTACTTCTAGATTTTATTCTACTCTCACTAGTAGGATCAGGATGAAAGAACTGCTCATTTTCCCCCTTTACAGATCACTATTGCCAGATGATAACTGATGGTTGCATTCTAGGCAGAAATCCAAAGAAACTCTTTATTCTTGATGGGTTAATTTAAGAGCAATGCTACCTTTTTCACCTTCTTTGTCTTCTTGGTCATCTGTTAGCGGGATCACTTCTGGTTGCTCCACAGTCGTGGCATCTTCTTGGTTTGGCGAAAGCTCTAAATAGAATGGGACAGAAGGATACTCAGGGATATTTTAATTGGAATCATTGAGAAAATACAGTGACTAAAGCAGAGAAAGTTAATGTGTTTTTTTTTTTAATTTTTCCCCTTCCAGTTTTAAGAAGCACATAAAGCAGAATACTATTGCCATTATCTGGTAATCATTGCCTAAAACATACACGCACACCACTCACAAACAGCAGGACAGACAGAAGTCATGGTTCACAGTTTCATCTCATTCTCTGATAACAATGCATTCTGGTTTCAATACCTTCTGTTTCCATATATGAGCTCTGGGAGTCGGCCTCAATTTTTATTTCATTCTTTGTTGAATCATGCTCTTGTCCTGTCAAGAACAGCAATTGAAAAAAAAGAGAAATGAGACATGCATGACTGTAGATTTATCCCTAGTTTGAAAAAGCAAAACATTCAGAAACGGTGTTTTGATCATGCATGGAGGGGCAGAGAGCAGTTTCAAACCAAAGTGGACAGTTTTGCCAATCATCAAATTTATGTCAATTATTTTATGAGAAATAGCCAGGTAATTAGGCAAAAAAAAATCTCTTCTTTGAACTGACTGGTATAACTGGTGTTTAGCTTATCAATGCACTGAACACTGATGGGCACAACCTGGAAGTTTTGAAATTTTAAATAATTCCTGGGCTGTATGGCTATTCTACACCTAATTTCTCTTTAAGATATATACATTTCCTGTATTGAGGATTCCTAGAAAATTAAAACACTAGTATTCTCATTGTCCCATTAAAAGATCATGAACAACTTAAGTAATATGAGCACACAGGGGTTGGGTCACCTAACAGCTCAACTATTCTGTTAAGACACCTACTAAATATGGCAAAGGTGAGGAGAGAATTCAGTCAACGCTTGATTACTCCAAGGCTGATTAATAATGTTTTTTTTTCCCCACACCCTCTGGCTTCTCCCCCTCCCCTGTACAGTTTCGAATATTTAAGTGCTCATTAAGAGAAGAAATTGAAATCTGTCCATTTGCCTCATTTTAATGAAAGGTTTTATACTGAGAATATATTTTTTATGCTGAGAATATTGAACTGTTGAATTAGAAAAATCCATAGCTTAGAGTTGGTTATAGGCCTGAAGAGGATATAGAGGGGGTTGGGCTCTGTTGGGCACATTCCTGTGATAGACTGCATTATTGTTTCAACTGGTCCCTACTTCTTCCCGTAAGAGGATTCTACTTCCATGTCTGTGACCATGTAACCTGCAAAGGCCGCTATGGGACAAGTGTTTGTTCCCATCTGACTAATACCAGGTCTATTAGGGTGACTTAGTTTACAAAATGGCACAGCAACACACATGATGTGTACTACATTTGAGCAGAAGCTTCAAGATCCATTGCATGTTTTCCTCCAACTTTCTTGATCCTAAGAGAGGATGCTACTTCAATCTACATCCTGGAATGAAACACATGGAGCAGAACCACCCAGAGACACAACACACCTTTGTTGTAAGCCAATGGGACTTTTAGGATTATTTTTTTAGGATTATCCAGCAAAGCTAACTGTGCAACACTTTATTACAGTTTCCTCTTTAATGCAACTATTCTTAAGCTGCTCACTAAATGGCTTCCCTTTGGTTCATTCTCTGCTAGCATGACCCCAAAAAGAAATTTTTTTGACATCGTTCCTTTCAAGCTCAATTTTAATCAAAAGGATCTGATAAAATAATTACAACAGAGGTATATTTATCTGTCTGATCATTGAAGCTAAATATCTCAGGCTGTCTTTGATGACCGTCATCACTCCTAAAAGTCAATACAATGCCAAGTCTTGACGCTTCTGCAAAATGTTTCTCTTTTCCCACTTTCCATTTCCTCTTCCCCTTTCCTCATTCAGGGATACATTCTTTCTCTTGGATCTGTTACTGTCTTCTCCTATAGTCTATCCAGTGAATTGCTAGCAGAAATGCCTTTTAAAACACGGATTTGATCAAGATGATCCCCTGCTGATAAACTCCATTCACTTCCATTCTTCTCTCAAAAATATAGGAGTTCAAGCCTCATCTCAGACCTAGAGTCAGATTATGCATTTTAACAATATTTCTAGGTGATCTGTATATGCATTAAAGCTTGAGAAGTGCTGGCATACAGCATATATGTGTATCTGCAAATTATTTATCCTATTAAAAATGCCAGACTTGGCCTAGACATTTCACATACATTATCTCTAATTACCACATTAGCTCTGAAAGTAAGTATTGTGATCCCCATCTGCTTTCAAAATTTCCAACTGGGTTTATCTGACTACAGATTCTTTCTTCCTCTTTGTTTTGCCTGGGAATGTCTTTATTTGTTTTTTAATTTTTAAGCTGAAGTATATCTTGCTTATATAAAACATACAAGTTGTAAGTACATAGCTTGATGACTTTTCACATACGTATACAAGTATCTCCCTGTGTGATCACCACCCAGAACAAGAACACTTCTAGCACAAGTGGTGCTCTGTTGGAACCAATGGATACCCCACTACAGACAAAAGGTAATAGTTTTGCGTGTTTTTTTTTTGAAATAGAACTTACACTATATGCTTTCTTGTAGCTTGCTTTTTCACATGTTCTCTGTGAGATTAATTCCAGTTGTTGTGTATACCAATTGTCAATTCTTTTTCACTGATGTATACTATTCCACTATCCAAATATATTATGTCCTATGGATGTTGCATTGTTTTCTGTTTGCAGCCATTATGAAGAACACCTTTAAAAACATTCTTGTGCATGTCTAGATATATGTATTCATACCACTTGGGTATAAGCTCAGGAGTGATATTGGTAAGTAATCAGCAATGCATACATTTGGCTTTACTAAATCCTGAAAAACAGCATTCTGAAGAGTTTGTTCCAATTTGCACTCCCACCAGAAATGTATGAGAATTCCATGTGTGCCTTTTACCCTTTAGACAATTTGATGATACTACTAATGACAAAATTCTTTTATATGAAGAAGAAAGCTGTGCAAAATCTTTCACCCATTTTTTTCATCTTTGGGTACTATATAAAATGGTGATACTACACTATGGGTCATTTATTCTACAATGTATTATGTGCTACTAAATGGCAGATATGTCAGGTGCTGGAAATAGGTCTTAAATAAAATAGATACAATACTTGGCCTCAAAATGCATAGTTGCAAGGAAAAAGGCATTAAATGTGCATAAAGTTCTTTCTAGAAAGATGTGAAGCGGAATTCCAAATTTATGAAAAATTCACTTAGCAGATTTTTATTTTTATTATTTATTTACTTATTTATTTTTTAAGATTTTATTTATCCTTTCATGAGAGACAGAGGCAGAGACATATACAGAGGGAGAAGCAGGCTCCCTGCAGGAGCCCAATGTGGGACTCTATCCCCAGACCCCAGGATCACATCCTGAGACAAAGGCAGATGCTCAACCACTGAGCCACCCAGACATCTCAGCAGACTTTTTGATCACGGGAAACTGAGAGAGATAGCCAATATATTGGACAACAACATCAACACTGAGGCACTCTCAAATAGACTAAATGAAATAAGATGGAATTTGACAAGGATAAGTGCTAAATTTTAAAACCAAGTTTATAAATCCAACTTCAAGGAGTGAGATGGGAGGAAATAAATCCTATTTCCAATAAAACTAGAGCCGCAGATTTTGCATTCCAAGTTTACCCTAGATAAATACTGGACAGATACCAGTATGGCTGGATGGAAAGAAGGATTGTAGCACATGGAAAGTGAAGGGGATTTTTTCCACTTATTTCCTGGCAAACATCTTGCCTGGTTAGCTATTCCTAGCTATCCTAATGAACAGGGGACTTAAAACTGAAACATAATAAAAGAGGGGAATTATAGTAAGGGAAAAATACTTTTGTAAAAGATATATTCAACGGGATGAGCACTGGGTGTTATTCTGTACGTTGGCAAATTGAATACCAATACAAAATAAATTTATTATTAAAAAAGATATATTCAGAAAAACAAAAGCAGTGTTTTTGTGTTTGCAACGAACTCTGAGAACTGATGAATAAGGAAATGAAAAGATGGATTGATTGAAGAGGAAACTGAGACAATCTACAAGCCTAAAAACACAATAACAGCATGAACATGGACAATGGATGTCATAAGAGAGAATGAATGCTATTCATAAATTAATGAATGCTGTTCATAAATTAATGTTTCAGAAATCAAAGTTTTGAATTAAAATTCAGTAAGAAAGCAAAAGTCAGGGAGAAAAATGACACATGAAAAGATGATATATACAGAGGACAGAAAATAGCAATAGAATTTCTAATTAATGGATTAGAGGAAGTCTAAGCAACTATTTTTTTATGTGATAGCAACCATTAAAAATATATTATGAGATTTTCAAGGACTGTAGAACATAGAATATGATTTCATTTTTTGAAACTATGGACTCATCACATATGCCTTTATATGTATTTAGATTAGTGGGGACAAAAACTGGAAGGCTTTATCTCCTATTTAACACTGATTATCTTTGGATGGTAGGTGGGATTTTAATTTACAGAATTTTTATTTTGCTAACCTGCATTTCATATTTTACAACAAATGCATATTATCTAATTTAATAATTATAATGAAACAATGTAGAAAACAAAAATGCTTTCAGTGATATCATAGAAGAAAAAACTGTAACTAAAAGGTGTTTGTGGTTAGCTAAATCCAGTTACTTTGGCTTGATATCTATTGTACTTGAACTCTAAAAAACATGGGAAATTCAGCTGTTGAGTAGCTCTTTATTCTTGCATATTATTCTTCTTCTCCTTTTTTTTTTTTTTTTTTTTGTCTTTTGGCCAAATCACCTACCTTTCTTCTATGTCGCAACCTACTCACCATTTTCTAAACACCTTATGTTATTTCTTGCCCTTGTGTCCACTTAACGTGTATTCTCACTGGTTGAAATATCCCCATTTCCCCTCTTTCTATCTGATAAAATTCTCTTCAACTTTCAAAACTAAGTCATCAACTTATCTTTCTTTGTGACGTCCTCCAAATCACTAGTCAGAATCAATCATTTTTATGTTTTTGCTTATTGAATTCCTTTGCTCATTTATCTGTTTATTATTCTCCTTACCACATTGTAATGTAGTGGTATCTCTTGGTCTCTCTTACTGGGCTATGAACATTATGAAACTGTGCTTTATTGATATTTCCCCTCCCAGCACCTACTAATGAGTGATCAATAAATGTTTAATTAACTGGCTGTCCATTACAGCACGCATCAATGTCTGCAAATAGTAATTAGGGATTGTAACTTATTTTCTATTGCATCCTTTAGCAACAAGGTAAGTGCCTTTGGCTGCATATCCATATAC